GTTGGGTTGGATACTGCAGGTTGGGTTGGATACTACAGGTTGGGTTGGATACTGTAGGTTGATTGGATACTGCAGGTTGGGTCGGATACTGCAGGTTGGATTGGATACTGCAAGTTGGATTGGATACTGCAGGTTGGGTTGGATACTGCATGTTGGGTTGGATACTACAGGTTGGGTTGGATACTACAGGTTGGGTTGGATACTGCAGGTTGGGTTGGATACTGCAGGTTGGGTTGGATACTGCAGGTTGGGTTGGAAACTACAGGTTGGGTTGGATACTGCAGGTTTGGTTGGATACTGTTAGATGGGTTGGATACTGCAGTTTGGGTTGGATACTGTAGGTTGGATTGGATACTGCAGGTTGGGTTTTTACTACAGGTAGGGTTGGATACTGTTAGTTAGGTTGGATACTGCAGGTTGGGTTGGATACTGCAGGTTGGGTTGTTTACTGCAGGTTGGATTGGATACTGAAGGTTGGGTTGGATACCGCAGGTCGGGTTGGATACTGCAGGTGGGATTGGATACTGCAGGTTGTGTTGTATGTTGCTTGTTAGACCATAAGTCTGGCTATGCAGTTGAGAGCCAGGAAATGCAAAATATTCCCGAATTCTGTATGTCTGACCAATCTTGATACAAATTCCACAAAATCTTTAAATTCGTTATAATATACACGGATCCAGGTAATCTGGTTTAACTCTAATATTCCGACCAAGCGAATGTAAAGACCAGAATTAGATTTAGTAATCCGACCAAACTAATAGAAATCAGAATCAGATTTAGTAATCCGGCCAAACTAATAGAAACCAGAATTAGATTTAGTAACTTTACCAGACGAATAGACATCATAAAGCTAGACACTTAAATAACTAGACAGTTATGCAGTTAAATTGACAGTTAGTCAGACAGCTAGTATACTAGACAGCTGTAAGGTAAAATTATTAGACAGCTAAACAGCTTTTCAGTTAAATAGACAGTTAGTCAGACAGCTAGTATACTAGACAGCCGTAAGGTAAAATTACTAGACAGCTAGACAGCTAGGTTACTAGACAGCTAGACAGCTATGAAACCTACAGAAGGAACGTGCACACCAAAAGAAAGAAATCCATCTCAGACCTGTCACTTGAATTAAAAAGTATTTAAGAAGGTTTGGATGCAGGATGCAAGGTTGCTGCAGGAGAACAAGGAGAAGGGTTTAAACCATCTCAGATCCCTGCAGGATACTAGACAACCAGACAACCACGGAGCTATACTTACCAGACAACCAGACAAATATGCAACCAGACAACCAGACAACCAGAAAACCAGACAATCAAACAACCAGACAACCAGACAACCAAACAACCAGACAAACAGACAACAAGACAACCAGACAACTAGACAACTAGACAGCCAGACAAATAGACAATCAAACAACCAGACAACCAGAAAACTATGCAACCAGACAACCAGACAATCAAACAACCAGACAACCAGACAACAAGACAACCAAACAACCAGACAAAGAGACACCAAGACATCCAGATAACCAGAACACCAGACAACTAGATAAACAGACAACCAGAAAAACAGACAACAAGACATCCAGACAACCAGAACACCAGACAACTAGATAAACAGACAACCAGAAAAACAGACAACAAGACATCCAGACAACCAGAACACCAGACAACTAGACAACCAGACAACCAGACAACCAGACAACCAGACAACCAGACAACCAGACAACTAGAAACCTGACAACCAGACAACTAGACAAAAAGATAAAAAAAACAACTAGACATATAGACAACCAGACAACCAGACAACTAGACAACCTGACAACCTGACAACTAGATAACTAGATAACAAGACAACTAGACATATGGACAACCAGAAAAACAAACTACAAGACAACCAGACAACTAGATAATCATCAACTAGACAACCAGACACCTGGATAACCAGACGCCTGGATAACCAGAAACCTAGGCAACCAGACATCTGGATAACCAGACAACTAGAGAACCATCAACCAGATAACTATGCAACTAGACAACCAGACACCTGAATAACCAGAAACCTATGCAACCATACACCTGGATAACCAGAAACCTAGGCAACCAGACAACAAGAGAACTAGTTTTTCATAAATAAACTATTGACTTGATGTCAATATAAATTATATAATGTTGAATATGAATGAAAAATGAATGAATGAAGGTTTTGTAGGTCTCTTCAATAAATGGAGAAATGCAGCTCTAAGTAAATTTCGGCTGAAACCACACGCAATATTTTGTGGAAAATATTCAAGTTTTTTTTTCTAGAATTTTTATGCATAAAATTTATAAAAACCAACACGGAAAATGTCTCGTGTCATCTTCATAAATCAAATAACATTTACAAGGAAAAAAATTCAATCAATCAATCAATTAAGTTTTTGATTAATTTTGATTTTATAAGAACAATAAAAAACCAAGTTCATATCCTTCGTGATCGACAAATTGATAAAATATTAAATAAAAGCTAAAGTGCCGGGTTTTGCCCGTTGCATAAAAAAATCTATTTTTGGAGAAAAAAAATGTTTATTTTTTTAGCTTATGTCACCCCCAGGGTAGTCATGAGTTTCCTCAAAAAAATGTCAGCCAATCGGTTCAGCGGTTTGGCCAGCTGTAGCTAACATATATATATATATAACTGTATATATACATATATATATCTCACTGTATTTATAAAATACTGTTTCGTGCATTGCAGCAATCTGTAGTAGATTAATCTTGGCTGAAAAAATTGAACTTGCAGATTTTTTTACAATTGGTTCCCGGGTGCTTTCGAAACATGTTTTTAAAAAGGAACAATGACTGCATATACATATATACATATTATATTATTAAATTAATATTATAAAGATATGTTTTTGTCTTTATTATACAGAATAGGCATATTTGTTGCAAACGTATTTCATCAATTTCTTCCTATTTCTACTTCCTATTTCACAGTTTTCTGGTTATCACTGTAAGATGAACTTCCATATCTTTGTTTACAAATCAAATGTACTGCAGTTTCTGGTAGGATCATAAACAACACTTACCCTGAGCAGCACTACGGTTGTTTACACTCCTACCAGACACTGCAGTACAGTACACATTATTGGAAGTACAGCTATAGCTCTTTTTGGCCAAAAAGGCGTAAACTGAATTTAGATACAACTTTTTTGGAAGGAATGTAAACATTGCAGTACACTTTAGTACACTGCAGTATACTACAGAACACTGCAGTACACTTCAGTACGCTTCAGTACACTGCAGTACACTGAAGTGCACTTCAATACACTGCAGTACACTGCAGTATACTTCAGTACACTGCAGTGCACTCCAGTACACTTCAGTACACTGAAGCACACTGCAGTTCACTTCAGTACACTGCAGAATACTGCAGTGCACTTCAGTACACTTCAGTAGACTTCAATATACTGCAGTACACTTCAATTCACTCCAGTACACTGCAGCACACTTCCTTACACTTCAGTACACTTCAGTACACTTCAGAACACTGCAGTACACTTCAGTACACTGCGGTACACTGCAGCACACTGCAGTACACTTCGATTCACTGCAGTACACAGCAGTACACTTCAGTACACTTCAGTGCACTGCAGTGCACTGCAATACACTGTAGTACACTGCAGTAAACTGGAGCACACTTCAGTTTATTGCAGTTAGTACAGTGCAGTACACTTCAGTACATTATAGTAAACTGCAGTACACTGCAGTACACTACATTACACTACAGTACACTGCAGTACACTGTAGTACACTTCAGTACTCAAACATATTTGAAGATAGATAGATATTCATTCAATATTATTAATCTAGAAGCTTTAATGTAGTAGAGATACAGAAAAACATAAACTGCACATTTCTCTACATTTCTCTACATTTCTCTACATTTCTCTACATTTATTTACATTTCTCTACATTTTCAAATACGAAATGCATCTTTCTCTGTGGAGAAAATATTATTTACGTGTTTAAAGGAGGGATTAGGTGTTTAATAATAATTTTTTCAGGTTTTAAGATTGGTTTTGGGTTTCGCCCACTCTATGCAGTTTTTTGCACGTTTTTTGCGTAATTTTTGCAGGGCAGACATGCATTCATTTGCTTCAAAGAAGTCGGGACGCCCAGGCGGCCGCCCTCACCAGACAACTACGGAACCATTAAAAAAAAAAATTAAATATTTTTTAAAAATAAAATTTTTTTTTAAAGTTTCCAATAAAATGTTAAAACAATTGAAAAAAATATTTTAACAATTTGCCACCATTTCTCAAATAAATTCAAAATATCAAGTAAAATTGTATGTTTGAAAAAAAATATTTTTTATTGGATCCTAAATGGCAAGACCAAGAATGCATTTTGCGTTCTAAATTGCACTCAGGGCTGGGGCTCTCTCTCTCTCTTTCATGCAGGCCTATATTTATCTATCTATCTTAGCAACTTACCCCTCTGTGTACTGAGGTATGCATACAATACCTGCATAGAACTGCACACTATGTTGGGTCCAGGGAACAATCTCTTAATATTTTTATTTTCTTACTAATTAGGAAATATGTTAGAGGAGGTTGGAGTAGGGTTGGTTGGAGTAGGGTAGGTTGGAGTAGGGTGGGTTGGAGTAGGGTAGGTTGGAGTAGGATAGGTTGCAGTAGGGTAGGTTGGAGTAGGATAGGTTGGAGTAGGGTAGGTTGCAGTATGGTATGTTGGAGTAGGGTAGGTTGGAGTAAGGTAGGTTGGAGTAGGGTAGGTTGGAGTAGAGTTGTTTGGAGTAGGGTAGGTTGGAGTAGGGTAGGTTGGAGTAGGGTAGGTTGGAGTAGGGTAGGTTGGAGTAGGGTAGGTTGGAGTAGGGTTGGTTGGAGTAGGGTAGGTTGGAGTAAGGTAGGTTGGAGTAGGGTAGGTTGGAGTAGGGTTGGTTGGAGTAGGGTAGGTTGGAGTAGGGTAGGTTGGAGTAGGGTAGGTTGGAGTAGGAAAAAAGTAGGCAAATATTTTCAAAGGAAAAAAGTAAAGTAGTTTTTTCTGCACTTTATTTTAATATTTAAACTATAAAAATATAAATGTTGGATAGTTTTTGATCTCTATGCACTTTCATCTCCAGGTGCACTTTCATCTCCAGGTACACTTTTTACCATTTTTTACATTTTGCCTAATTTTCTCAACACTTAAAACTAATTAAAAGACAAAAAGAGTTTCTAAATATCTGTATCAAGCGGATAATGTAACAATTATGTTCCCAGAACTTCATTTCCCCCCCCCCTCGTGTCTGATACGACTACATGGAGGTTTATTAGATCTGTAATAACGCATAAAACAAATGATGAATTCCACGGAACTTGGCTGCGTGTCTGACAAAAGTCTTAAAATCTCGTAAAATCCTCGAATCTATCTAAAAGAGCGAGGAGGGCCTGTTCAACAAAAACTCGCCAAAAACGGTGCACACACAAGTGCAGCGGAGCACTAGCGCAGTATGTGCAGCGCGGCCCAGGCCCTCCAACCCATTCCAGCCCTCACGCCACGGGCCCATGCACCGGGGCAGGACTGAAATGCCATTTTTTGCTGCAACCCCGGCGCTGCAAAACTTCATATTCTAAACTTCTTCCTGCGTTTCTTCTCCATTCTTTGATTCCCTGGTTTTATGCCAGTTCTTTCCAGTCTATACCTCCGTCCAGATTTGAAAACCCATCGTGAACGTGTATTCGGAAAAAAAGTTTTGAAACCAGAATCCAATTACCAGGCACAGCTAGTGCACTTTGGCGAAAGGTATGTTGGCACAAAAACTAAACATTGCGGCTTGAGCTGAGGATCAAAAATATTTTGAAAATATGAAACCGGTTGACAATAAAAATAATCGGTATTGATGTCGAAAACGTTAACTCAGTTTATTATGGGAGGCTGGGGTGTTAAGATCGAAGATGAGGTTGTCCTCAGAGGTCATGGGGTTAGGAATAGGTGGCAGCCTCGAGAAGGTTCGAGGTCTGTACCTGTAGCATTGATCCATTAAAAGGAATTGATAAATCAACTTCAAGTGACCCTTCAGTTAAAGAGTGACATACCCGATTCACAATGGTATCCTTTAAGATTTATCTGAGTAAGAGGAAGATATCGTCGTTTTCTCACATAAAAGGAAGGAATTGTTTTCTTCGGATAAATCCGGTTTGCCTATTTGGTCAGGAATCTGCAGTCACAATCCAAAATGAGAGTTCCTGTTGTAAAGGGATAAATTTCGGAGCATGGTTTTCCCACATTTCTCACTCGGTGCCAGAGAATTATTTAGAGTGAGTCATGAACTCCTTTAATTTTTATTTATTTTTCTACGAAACAATAATCGATCAATCATCCCTTCCCTATTTCATTTCTCCACCTTTTTCTCTTTTTTTTTACTTTTTTCAATGGGATCCCATTTTTATTCCGAAATAAAAATATTAATCCTGTAATTATATTATTTGAAGTAGCGTTCAATTTATAATGTATGTTTTGTAAACCTCTTGTTCAAAGGTTTTCCAGAGTGAAGATAAAGCATCATAAAGAAGCTGAATATTAGCCTCATCAAAGTTGTCTCATCCCTATATTTTTGCAGCCTGATGATCTTAACCCGATATTTCAAACTTTGACATTTTGATTAAGTAGAATTCTACAGGGCGAGTAAAAAACCGTGAGTTGCGTTGTTTAACACATCACGTTTTTTGTAGGGTTTATGTTTTAGACTAAAATATACGACAATGAAATCATCCAAATGGAAAAATATTTTTGGTGAAAAAAAATAGCCCAAATTTTTTTATCCAAATTTTTTCTTCAGAAATTAATTGGAAAATTTTTATTCTATTTTAAATAAAAATTTTGTAAAAATTTATTGATAAATATAAGAGATATAACAAAAACATTGTTAGCGCACATATGAAACAAAAAACATAAAAGATTTATTACTGTTAACAAATTCTTCCAATAATAAATTGCATTTTAATCGATTTCGGAAGAAAACATAATTTTTCACAAAAAAGTTTTTCAATGTTTCACAGAAATCATGGACCCCGCATACATTTTTGTATTGTAAAACACCGCAATGCCGTTTTTTACTGAGCCTGTATAGTTTAAAAATTCAAGGTCTTCGATATTTGGTTTCATAGATTTAAGGATTAGAAAATTAGAGAATGAAGAGAGTAATCTACCTGAATATTATGAACATCTTCGGTCAAATTCAGGGGTGTACTCAGAAATTTTTCCTGGGGGACTCGAGTTTTTTCTTTCTAAGGGGGGGGGAGCTCAGCAACCGTTGGAGCTCAAAAACCCCCGAAAAGCATAGATTTCCCTGATTCAGGGTTCAGAAGGCTCGAGCCCCCATAGCCCCCCTCCCATGAATGCTGCTCTGGTCCTATTCGTTGTTTCAACTTCAACTTGAGGCCCATTTATGACCTACCCCAGAGAAGCAATTAAAAAAAATTTAAAACATATGTTGCCATCAGTTTTATAAATAGTATAGATCGTTTCCATGATATTAAAACATTTATAAAGAAAAAATTTCTAAATCAAGTGATATGTAAAAAAGTTTTAGAAAAAGTTTTGGTTTATGAGGAAAAGACAACATTTGTGACATCTTTAGTAGAAGAAGATCAATAAAAACTTGAAGTGTATTTTTTTCTTTATAAAAATTCAAATTAATCGACATCAAAAACTTGAAATATTATCGAACACGCTTTTAAGATCTTATTACGTTTGATCTAATTATTTCATATTATCTAATCTTCTTATTATCTAATCTTCTAATTATCTAATCATCTAATTATCTAATCTTTTAATCATCTATCTTCTAATTATCTTTTCCTCTAACTATCTTATCACCTAATTATCTAATTTTTAAATTATCTTATCTTCTAATTTTTACATATATTTTATATCTCCATAATTAACGATTTACCCCACTACTCTAAATTTATGTAAATAAACAAACAGTGAATAAAACTATTTGTTTTGCTACATTTATAAACTTTTTTTTTGACGAAATCTGAAAAAAAAATCAAGTTTGAATTTATAAAGATTAGATTAGATTAGATTAGTTTTAGTATTCGGGAAATTGGTTGAAACAAGAGTCAGCATTGACTGCAGAATTCTTGAGTTAGTTTTTAACTGGATTTCCCGGGAATTCAAGTTTATGAGTTGGTAGATCGTTAACTTCAACTCAAGCTGTATATACAGGGTGTACCCTTAAAAAAGGGTGATTACTGGGTGTGCAACTTTTGAATCCTGTCTTTTTTATCGTTATTTGATCCTAAGCCTCATTTTTGCTTTAAGAGTGTCAACATTACGTATGTGGGACCAAATTTAACACTTACAGTGTCCTAAAAAGGCACGAAACCCCTAATTACAGTTTTTTTGGACACGCTGTATGTATATTTATGTATTTTAGGGAGTTAAAAAAAATGATTTTTATTTACAATAATTACAAAGGCTCTCCTGTAGGCAGGTTTTTAAAAATTGAGTTCAAATTAGTTTAAATAAGTACAACTGAGTACAAATAAGTACAAATAAGTACAAATAAGTAAAAATGAGTACAAATGAGAACAAATGAGTTCAAATGAGTACAAATGAGTACAATTAAGTACAAATGAGTATAATTGAGTACAAGTGAATACAAATGAGTACAAATGAGTACGAATAAGTAAATATGAATGCAAGCAATAACAAATGAGTACAAATTAATACTATTGAGTTTAAATTATTACAAATTAGTACAAATGAGTACAAATGAGTACTAATAAGTACAAATGAGTACAAATGAGTACAAATGAGTACAAATGAGTACAAATGAGTACAAATTATTCACATCTTTGGAACCTGATACCTGCACTGGATACCTTTCATATTTTATACTATTCTGCTACAGTCATAACCAGAAAACAATAGAATAGGAAGACGACATTATATCAATACTTAAGTGTATTAGATGTTGTTACGAAGCAACTTGACACTTATCAATTCACTAATTTAGTAAAATGGGTCTGTTTACACTGCACGATTGCTGTGTTTAATGTTTATTGTACGTTTTCAAAGCTATAACTTGAGTCTAAAAGTTGTCTTCCTATTTCAGAGTTTTCTGGTTCTCACTGTAGATGAAATAGTTTGAAATATCAAAGGTTTACACCATCTGGTTGCAAAGATATAGGGATTAAAAAAATTGAGTTGTAGGCGAGTGTTTTTTACGCTTTTAAATCTCCTCAAATGTAGTCTCTACTTTTAGAAAATGATGGACGCGTTTTATTTATAATTTATAAACAAAAGTAGAAGTTTTATGGAAAATCTAGACTTTGTAACAACGAAAAAATAAATATTATTTAACCCTATTTCTGTCGTAAATGCTGCGCATGCTGCAGAAACCCCTCTATCGAGTTTCATGTTTTTTGGAACTCCCTGCACCCTGCAGCAATCCTTCTATCTAGTCCCATGTTTATTGGAACTCCCTGCACCCTGCAGCAACCCCTCTTTCTAGTTCCATGTTTTTGGAACTCCCTGCACGCACCCTGCAGCAATCCTTCTATCTAGTCCCATGTTTATAGGAACTCCCTGCACCCTGCAGCAATCCTTCTACCTAGTCCCATGTTTATTGGAACTCCCTGCACCCTGCAGCAACCCTTTTATCTAGTCCCATGTTTATTGGAACTCCCTACGCCCTGCAGCTACCCCCCCTACCTAGTCCCATGTTTATTGGAACTCCCTGCACCCTGCAGCAAACCCTCTATCTAGTCCCATGTTTATTGGAACTCCGTACACCCTGCAGCAACCCCCTATCTAGTCCCATGTTTATTGGAACTCCCTGCACCCTGCAGCAATCCTTCTACCTTGTCCCATGTTTATTGGAACTCCCTGCACCCTGCAGCAACCCTTTTATCTAGTCCCATGTTTATTGGAACTCCCTGCACCCTGCAGCAATCCTTCTACCTTGTCCCATGTTTATTGGAACTCCCTGCACCCTGCAGCAACCCTTTTATCTAGTCCCATGTTTATTGGAACTCCCTGCACCCTGCAGCAACCCTTCTATCTAATCCCATGTTTATTGGAACTCCCTGCACCCTGCAGCAACCCCTCTATATAGTCCCATGTTTATTGGAACTCCCTGCACCCTGCAGAAACCCCTCTATCT